TCGCCATAGCTTGACATTTGTAAAAGTTACGCCGTCTTGAGTACATCTACCTCTGCACGGTTTTCGATTTTTCCATTACCTCCTTTCGGCTTAAAACGCGTTCCCCGTAGTGGTTTTTTGACTCGATCGAACAGAAAAAAATCGCAGGGAGCCATATCGGGTGAATTCGATGGCTGTTGGATGGTATTCGTTTCGTTCTTGGTTAAATGTTCACGGATGTTGCAAATTCAACTCCTTTTTAAAACTGTAAAAAATCGAAAACCGTGCAGAGGTAGATGTACTCAAGACGGCGTAACTTTTACAAATGTCAAGCTATGGCGATAAAATTTGGTGGAAACGTCAACGATAGATGTGGCGACCTAACCAAAAAAACAGAACTCAAATCAATTGACTCAGAACATTACCTGGTGGTAATTCCGGAAACTTTTTGATCAAAGTGGTATATTGTTTATTTTATTATCCTTATGTGTTATGGAAACTTGTGTAACATTATTTTCAATTTCTTCTTTTGATTCTTTTCTTAAAAAATAATTAAATAACGTATAATAAATCAACCTAACTAAGACTCCTTATAAATCAGAAAACAAAGAAAGAACAAGGGCAGTAGGAGTCAAGCGCGGGAGACGTTGCGCAAATAACACGACTATCGTAGCGTAAAACTTCTTTATTTTACTAAAGCGCTTACATGTTTCGGCTCATTTTTGAGCCTTCTTCAGAGACAACTAATAAACTCACATACATAGAATATAATAATTATTAACTAGTCATGGTGATCTTCCTCACCTCGAGAGTATAAATGCCAGAATTAAATCCAGATAAGAATGCAGTAAAAAAAAAAAGAAAAAAAGAGAAAGAAATTTTGGTCAGTGTCGCTCGTACACAGGAAGAAGTCTGTCGGGCGTTGACTTTAGATCATTTTCAAAATTTCTTTTCTTGATTTTGATTAATTTTTTAACGCTAGTTTTCCAATTACTGTCTCAATAAAGACCAATTAAATCAAAAAGAGACTAACTGTGTCTGACACTGATTGGCCAACTTATCAGAAACCGGTTTTTGAATTATTAAGAGTAATGTTTGCGATGCGGTATCTTGTGATCAGGGTGAGCTTCCTAACCATCGGAATAATTAATTATAATTTCAAAATTTTTTGATACATTAGTTTTACATTTTCTTTATTTCGAGATTTTCAAAATTTCTTTCCCTTTTTTCTTTTTTTTTTTACTGCATTCTTATCTGGATTTAATTCCGGCATTTATACTCTCGAGGTGAGGAAGATCACCATGACTAGTTAATAATTGTTATTCTATGTATGTGAGTTTATTAGTTGTCTCTGAAGAAGGCTCAAAAATGAACCGAAACATGTAAGCGCTTTAGTAAAATAAAGAAGTTTTACGCTACGATAGTAGTGTTATTTGCGCAACGTCTCCCGCGCTTGACTCCTATTGCCCTTGTTCTTTCCTTGTTTCCAAATAACTAAATATTGTAGGAACCGCATTTGGTTTTAATTTTTGCATATCAGTTTTTTATTCCCACATAGTTGGAGCAAAATGTACCTGCATAATATAATAAGAAAAAAGATTAACTTATTAAATAATCGTAATTGACATATAGAAAATAAGTAGAACTTTAAAAAGACACAAAGTTGTCATATATTTTATTAATTTTCTTATAATGAAACTGTACAAATATGTTACTTAATCTCGCAGAGATATGCATTTTTCGTTGGTGTCCAATTTTTCCAACATTTGTCGCCCATAATGCTCGACGTTCCACATCACGCGGAAATATTTTCATTATGTAGCCTTTCGCTACAGAATTATTGCAAAATGGGGCTGCATACCCAACCATTTTGCAATAATTTTTAATAATATTCTAAAAATCGTACTATAGAAAGACGTATGAGATCATGACTCACACGAGAACTATGAAGATTAGAAAGAGACACAACGTATTTCTCTCTCTTTCTTTGCTGAAACTAGAGACTCTTAATATAAAGAGACCGTAAAGAGAGTCTCTGTTCCTCGTGTCGCGACTCTGATTAGAGAGTCTCTATATATCGCTAAGCAGAAGCGCCATCGCACAGGCACTGGGGCGTCAAACTGAACTATTTTTATACCGCAACTAACAAGGAGAGATCGCAAATCTTGGAACACCGATTTTGAAAAAGCTCATATATGTTTAAATACTCTAATAGAATAGTACTTGAGTAAAGGGATAAGACGCCATATTCAGCCGTTTTCGAGAAAAACCGGTTTAAGATTTACAGCGTTCCTTATATACCGACCGCGTTAAACCGGTTATCAACAAGGTTTCGTAATACAGGCGCTAGGCGCCGAACTACCAATCTGTCGACCCGGATTCGATTTTCCTGCCTATTACTTTTTTTGTAGATAATATTTATTTATTATATTATTATGTTAAATATGTATTATACACCCAAAAAAAATATTCTGCCGATAAGCGGGGAATTCCTCTTAGCATTTCCTCTGTTGTGAGCAAAAAATTTTACATTAATCTTACATTAATCAGATGCGTGTATTTATGACACGTATTCATTTATAAAAATGAGGACACATACATGAGCTATGATCAAAAATAAATTCCTCTATAGAAAATTCTATTATATATAATAACTCGACTAACCTTTTGAAATAAGAAGATATACAAAATACTAGCGGCACGCTTATTTGTTAGAAGAAGTTTGCGTGTTACCGTAGTACGCGTGCGTGTCAGTACATGCAAAACATTCTTCTAGTATTGAGAGGGTTATAATCTTAAATCCAGTACATTATGGTTACACGAAATTCCTTTACTTTGTAGAGTATCCTCTTGAGGTCATATATAAATGAAAAATCCTCTGACATTAACACGGAACCGCTAAATGGCAGAATATTTTTTTTTGTTGTATTATTATTTAAAATAAAATTAATTTAATTAACAATTGTGATTTTTGTTTACTGAACATAATTTTTATTCAATTAACAATCTTATTATTTTACATGTTCTATCCGATATAAAACTAATAAAATGCCACTTTTAACATAGTTGTTATTTAATACAAGAAATATTTTATTTATCGTAATTTTATTCGGTCCGTAATTTTTCACTCACAATCAACGTTAAATTATTCACTGTTCCGACCCTTATGTTTGTATACCTAATGTCCTCAAGTAACAGTTTTTGACTTACCTTCCAGACTGCTTCTTTATTGTAACGTAATCCTCACACAAAAAAATTCGTTAATTAACATAAATTAATTTTTTTTACATATGGTAGGAGGACATTTTCTAAAAATTGTTTATACAACTCTTTCGTTAATTTTCCTGATTTGGAGCAAGTGACAATAACATTTTTAAATTCTGTGATTAATTTTTGGATATTTTTAGAAACTATCGGACCAAATTTATTCATGGGTTCTTGTAGGCACAGAAAGACTAGTGGAAGTACCACTTGCCTGACAGTTACAGAGTATTGTGCGGTATACGAATGGGTTAATTTATGTAAATTTTGTTTTTTCACAAATACAGTTTTCACTCCTTGAAAATCCAATGACCTGTTATAAGTTATCTCGTATTCATAATCTGTTTGGTCCATATTAATCAAAGTCCGAATCAAATTTAGAATTCGTTATCTTACTTTCCTATCTCCTACTATTTATAATATAACGGTAAAATATTACATCAAAATAAATTACACAATTATGCTTTTTAGACTTTCATGAATATTATCTTCAAAGGTACCAGAAGGTTTGCAGGTTATCGCCGTGTTTTCATCCAATACTAATGTCAACGTTCTGTGAACCTTGCCGTTCACTTCATCAGAGCGAAGAATGCATTGATACTGTGCTGCTGCTCCAGAGAACTCCCTTTATATAGACGCTGTAGAAAGGTGAGAGTATGTTGAGAAAGGGAGATGGAGACTTCCTTGGGTTGTCAAAAGAGCAGTCTTCCATATCCTACTTACATTATAACCTGAGTAAGTAATGCGGTATACAGTTTGTCAAATGTCTTGTCATAATGTGGAAGAGAAGAGAAGGTGAAGTTGATAGGATTTCTGAGAAATATTGTTTATGTGACTTAATAAAATAAATACGTTCCCTAGTGAGATATAGTCCAGTTCTACAGATACTCTTAGACTTATGCGTGGCCAAATGATCCTTGAGTTGTACGAATTTTAATACTTATGAAGATAATACCTGTCAAAGACTAAAAAGCGTTATCAAGAAACTCCACGGGGAGATTATCCTTTCCAAGGTAAACACGTTTTTTCGGGTGTTTCACCCCTTAAACATGAGTTAGAGCACGTATAAAAAAATACGCGTCTCTTAAATTTTCGTGTTTAACAACATATTTCATGGAAAATCAAATCAGTTCCGGACAGTTGTAAAACTTGTTAGTTACACATAAACAAGATTTCCCAGAAATCCTATCAACTCCACCTTCTCCTCTCTTCCACTTCACGACAAGACATTTGACAAACTCTAGGCCGTATTACTTACTCAGATTATAATGTAAGTAGGATATGGAAGATGGTTCTCTTGACAAGCCAAGGAAGTCCCTATCCCCCTTCCTCAACATACTCTCGCCCCTTTCTACAGCATCTATATAAAGGGAGTTCTCCGGGGAAGCAGCTCAGTATCAGTGCGCTCCTTGCCCTGATGAAGTGAATGGCAAGGTTTACGAAACGTTGGCATTAGCATGGATGAAAAAACACGGCTGTAACTCGCAAACCCTTCTGATAATGATCTTTGAAAATTACACAATTGAGTTATCATTGTGTAATTAAGACTTATCAAGAGTTATCATAAATTTCCAAACTCAAATTAAAATCTATTTGCCTCTTTGCATGATCGGCATAAAATTCGAACGTAGTATCGAACGACGACTGGATCTCTTTCCTTGAAGAAGTTTAGACTGAGTACGATAACCAAAGAATTTCTAATTACAGCCAGTTGACTTAAATTTCTATCTATCGTTTACAAATAAATCTTGTCTTTTCAGTACGTTCTGTTGATGTCAGAGGCAACTCTTGTCCTCGCCAGTGACAACATGCTGACCGCTTCTTTATCACGTCATGTCAACAAACACCTTCATTGGATTTTTCAAACTATTGGACTAATTCTGATTTTGGTCGGCGTAAGCGTGATGTATAACGCCAAATCAGTACACTTCCTTTCAATCCATAGTATTACAGGCATCTCTTCATTGGTTATCATCTGCATAGTGACTCTCTTCGGATATCCGGTATGGATCGCATGGAAACTTCGCAAGTTCGTACGACCAATGATTATCAAATTCCTTCATAATTTTCTGGCCACCTTCGGCTTTATTATAGGTATGGTCTCGCAATGTTACGGTTACAAAAAAACTTGGGTATATCATGAAATGGAAATGAAGCACGCCGACAATATGCTACTTGTTCTCACAATATTGATCACAATATTATCATTAAGGGGCGCGCTCAACTCTCTTTATAAACAAGCTATCAATTATCTAAAATTAATTTGCTCTTTCACTTAATATATGAGAATGTTGGCATGCAAAAGTCTTCATCTAATTATAGGAAATTATCATGCTTTATTAATGTTGTGTTATTTACATTTAGTTAAAATAATGTAAATAATTACTAATACGTATACTAATGGATTTAACACCATAGATTTGAAATAATCATTTTCTTAAGCGAATTTTTAGAAATACTTATACAATCTATCAGTACTAATTGTATAAAGAATTAACAGGATTAGGTAGTAACTAGTTAATAAGTTAAATGATAAATAAAAAGTTTTTATGTAAAAGTTTTTATGTAAAGTTGTTGGAGATATTGCGAAAGGAGATAGTACCGAAGGTTCACTGGCGACGTCGGCGTTATGACGAACGTACACGAGGAGTCAGAAGGTGTAGAAAAGAGTAAAGAATTAGAGCGATGTACAATGAAAAGTGCTGTTGAGCTTATTCGAAATCAATTGACAATAGTCGTTAAGCGATATACGTACAGAGGTACCGAGAAGTAACCTTCGCTTTCTTCGGGAAAGAAAGAAAAGATTGCGAATGTAAACATCATGTGACGCGAAGTAAACAGTTGATCGGCAGAAAGACTGTCACGAATTCTGACCGCGTCGGTAATAAGCGCGTTTTGAACAGAAAAACTGTCGACAGAAATAAATGCTGAAATTAATTCGATAACGAGTACGTGTTTAACAATATTATTTATATGAATTTGAATATGATATGCCGTTATAAAATAATTAGCATACTAAACAATTACTGAGTTTAGTCTAAACAAAAGCTTTTATTTAAAAATTTTTTTATGTACAAAAACTTAGCGTCGTTAGCAAACTTGATTTTGTCTATAGCGGCGCTAAGTTTTTTACATAAAAAATTTTTTTATTTATTAAGGACCACTTGAATTTTATTCTTTAAAAGTAGTTAGCTATTAGTGTTTTTTTCAACGAAATGTATGTTTTGTTTATAATTGGCGCAATTTAAAGATTTTATACATTTTTGAAAAAAATTATTATTATACTTTAAATTCGAAAAACAGGTCTGGAATAAGTTGGGAATAAAAAGATATTAATAAAAATAATTTATAAAAAATAATTTAATTAATGGACTCCTTATATTTAATATAACATTAATTCGTAATAATGAGGTGATAGAAGTCATCGCTGGAATTATTTGCGCAAAATGTAGAGTATTAAAATTGATAACGATGCACCCTTAAGAGGATCACACCACTTGTAGCGCGAAAAAATAGGTCATTTTTAGGAATTTTTTTAATGAAAACTACTAAACTTTTTTATAATATCAATATATCATCTTAAAGTATAGACAATAAACATCTTTTAGGAATTTCTTTATTGAAAAATATTAAACAGTTTAATTATAAATGGCCATCATATATAATAAGTTTTTAAAAAGTCGTTTCGCGGTGACCAACACGGTGGCGAACTGGATCATTTGAAACAAAAAATGGAAATGGATTTAGTTAAATAACAACATAAACTAGTCTTTAATCGTTCGATGTAAAAAAATATGCATTTTTGACAAAATGGCGGATAGTCAAAATTAATGGTTCGATTTTCTTTAAAAAAACGGCCGTTTTTTTGGCTGTATAAAAAAAGTTTTGGTCGAAAAAAAAAATCGAACGATTAAAGACTAGATTTTTATGTATTGAATAAACCTGCAAAATTTCAAAAAGATCGGTCCAGTAGTTTTTGAGTAATTTTGGTCACCGACTTGAGAAATGCCATTTTTAGAAAAATGCGTTTAAAGTTTCAACTTCAGTTTACACGAAGAAAACAATTTTTTTTTTAACTTACATTGAATCATCTATTCCGGGCCCATATAACAGCTCTTCCGCCGACATTGCCGATTTCAAAATATCAATTTGGTGTTGCCTTTTCTTCAATCTTCCCTCATGGGTGCTCTCGGCCGCGCGCTTCTTTGCCTGCAAAATCCGGGCTCTATCCGTTTTTTCCACGTATGCGTGTGCATTATGGCCATAATTTACTCCGATGGAGTTGAGAAAAAATAAAAGTGACTTCGATCCTTCATTGAACACTCCAGCTGCAATGTAGGCTGATAGGTTTACAATAATCGCTCCACTTGATACGATCTTCGGGCTTATTTTCCAAATTAGTTGATTGAAACTTTCATTATTATTTTGATTTGTGTTAGTTGAATGCCAGGTATACGACCAGGTATACGACCCTTTTCGCAGAACAATGGATAGAAACCGGAGAGAGAGCCGAACGCGGCAGGCGGCAGTGTTGCCAGTCGTCTGCGTAACACACGCTTCTCTTTCAAAGCCAATATCTCATTCAATTTTATTCGGATCGACTTCAAATTTTGAGGACATATTTTTAGATAGTTATACTTCAAAAAAATGCAAAAAAAATTCGATTTTTTGAAAGTTACAAGTGGTGTGATCCCCTTAAAACTGCATCGTTCTCAGCAAGGGTCCTAACCTGATGCCGCTGCGCCCACCATCGGCGGACGACAGTGATGAGAGCGCGGTACGCTCGCCTATATTTTAAGAAACCGAAAAATAATTTACAGGTGACCGTTCGCCAAGAAAAAGCCGAACGCGTACGAATAACGCCTAACGATCCCGAAACAATACGAGCGGGAGCAATAATCCGGGTATATAAGCGCGCAAGTTTTATCGCGCGGCCTTCTCTTTTCCGACTCCTGCTCCGATCCCGCTCTTTGTATCCAGCTCCGACTCCTAGCCGATCCAATAGCGCAAAAAAGCGATAGAGAGTGCTCTACCACTACCGAGTGTTCACGATAGCAACCGACCGGCCTTTCCTATCGCACAGCACCGTCGAGAGCTCTGAAGCAAAGTGTACTCTGCCTCGTCGAGCGTTCTCGACCAACGACCAGCCTGCATTCCTACGACTGCACCGACGGGAGATTCCGTGGTCGAGAGTACTCCGCCCCGCCGAGCGTTCTCGGCCGTCGGCCAGCCTACCATGCACTTCACTTCGTACATCGAGAGTATTCCAGGGATAGAGTGTAATCTGCCTCCGTCGGGCTTTCTCGACTGCTGGTCACCTTAGACTATTGGCCTCGACAATAGCCAAGGGGTAGAGCTTTCTCTGCCTTCGCCGAATGTTTTCGGCCGTCGTGTGCTAATACACATACACGTTTTTCCCATTGCATCGGGGAAAACATTCAAATCACGCAGCGTCGTATACCGCAACCGCGTACGTGATTGCGATTTACTGGCGCGTACCCGCGTACCGCGAGCATCAATCAGGTGCGCAGCAGCGCAGCCGATCCGCGTCCCGCGCTCCGCGACCCGCGCTCGTCTCAGCACACCGAAACCATCTGCGAAAATATCGAGCCAGTAGTGGAATTCTGTAATTCGTTATGCAGTCGTTACGAATTCATAACGACAGTTGCGCAGCTTTTTTACCATATAAAATATCTGCGCGGCTGTCGTTATGAGCACATAACGATTGCATAACGAGTTACAGAATTCCACTGCAGATCGCGTCTACACGACATACACATGCATACATACAAACACACGCACTCACACATAAACACGCATAGCATTTTATTCCGTCGCAGCGTCGTTCTTCTGGCCGGTTGCACAGAATTCCGCAGCGACAGATATTCCGCGAAACCACTTGTAGCGATATTTGTAAGCAATCCATCTCACGAAATACATAGTGGCTACGTTTACACCGTGCGTTTAGTCCGCGACCTATACGATAGG